TTAGATAAAAATAAGTAAAATATGGCTTTAAAATATGGATTTAAGATACTATAATAATAAATAATACTATAATAATAAAATACTATAAAAATAAATAAGGCCCCTGCGATCCTCCTCGCTGCTGATGTAATATTCTGTCACCTCCTCCTGGAATGTCACCTGCAACAACAAGGCCATTCTCAGCAAATGCAGGTTTGGAATGGTTTGAGTTAAAGGTGTTGAGTGGTGAAAAGATTGGGAATTTTTTCGGAGGGGTGTTGGGAAAGGATTCCTGACTGGGATTGCAATGGCGGAGCTGTGGCTGCTCCAAACCTGGAAGTGTCTAAAGTCAGGCTGAAGAATGGATAAAAAATGGCAAAAAATTAAGAGTTTTAGGCAGGAATTCTCAGCAAATCCAAGTTTGAAATGGTTTGAGTCAAAGGTGTTGAGTGGTGAAAAGATTGGGAATTTTTTCGGAGGGGTACTGCAAAAGGAACTGTGAGTGGGATTGCAATGGCGGAGCTGTGGCTGCTCCATCCTGGGAGTGGGAGTGTCCAAGGTCAGGCTGAACAATGGATAAAAAATGGCAAAAAATTAAAGAGTTTTAGGCAGGAATTCTCAGCAAATCCAAGTTTGGAATGGTTTGAGTCAAAGATGTTGAGTGGTGAAAAGATTGGGAAGGGATTCCTGACTGGGATTGGAATGGTGGAACTGCCACAGGAGCTGTGGCTGCTCCATCCCTGGAAGTGTGTAAAGTCAGGCTGAAGAGTGGATAAAAACCAGAAAAAAATTAGAGTTTTAGGCAGGAATTCTCAGCAAATCCAAGTTTAAAGTGGTGTTTTTTGGGGTTTAAGGTGAAGTTGTTGAGTGGTGAAAAGATTGGGAAAGGAATCGCGAGTGGGATTGGAATGGCGGATCTCTCACAGGAGCTGTGGCTGCTCCATCCCTGGGAGTGTCCAAAGTCAAGCTGAACAATGGATAAAAAATGGCAAAAAATTAAGAGTTTCAGGCAGGAATTCTCAGCAAATCCAGGTTTGAAATGGTTTGAGTCAAAGGTGTTGAGTGGTGAAAGGGTTGGGAATTTTTTCTGAGGGATGTTGGGAAAGGATTCCTGACTGGGATTGGAATGGTGGAAGTGCCACAGAAGCTGTGGCTGCTCCATCCTGGGAGTTTCAAAACTGAGGCTGGGAAAAAAAGTGGATAAAAAATGGCAAAAATTACTTAAAAAGAAATAAAATATGGATTAAAATGGATTTCAAATATGGTTTTTAAATATAATCAAAATAAACAGAATATTATTAAAGTATGTGTGGGAATTGCTGGAACTGTGGGATCCCTGATGGGACTGTGGGGTCCCTGCTGGGATTTTTGGGATCCTTGATGGGATTTTGGGATCCTTGATGGGATTTTTGGGTCCCTGATGGGATTTCTGGCATCCCTGATGTAATTTTGGGATCCCTGATGGATTTTTGTGATCCCTGATGGGATTTTGGGGTCCCTGATGGGATTTTTGGGGTCCCTGATGAAATTTTGGGATCCCTGATGAAATTTTGGGGTCCCTGATGGGATTTTGGGGTCCCTGATGAAATTATGGGGTCCCTGATGGGATTTAGGGATCCCTGATGGGATTTTTGGGGTCCCTGATGAAATTTTGGGGTCCCTGCTGGGATTATGGGGTCCCTGATGGGACTGTGGGGTCCCTGATGGAATTTTGGGATCCCTGCTGGGATTTTTGGGATCCTTGATGGAATTTTGGGGTCCCTGATGGAATTTTTGAGGTCCCTGATGGGACTGTGGGATCCCTGATGGGATTTTTGGGATCCCTGATGGGATTTTTGGGATCCTTGATGGGATTTTTGGGGTCCCTGATGGGATTTTAGGGATCCCTGATGGGATTTTGGGGTCCCTGATGGGATTTTGGGATCCCTGATGGGATTTTGGGGTCCCTGATGAAATTTTGGGGTCCCTGATGGGATTTTGGGATCCTTGATGGAATTTTGGGGTCCCTGATGGGATTTTTGGGGTCCCTGCTGGGATTTTGGGGATTGCTGAGGATTTCCTAAGCCAAAAAAGGAAAAAACCAGGAGGTTTTTGTTGAGTCAAGAGCCCAGTGAGTCACCATGAGATAAGCAGGAACAGGGGACAACACTCAGCCCAACGTGACAGGAACAACCAGTCCTGGAGTAAAAATACACCCACAAAACTCAGTCCTTCCTGGAATTCTAGGGGTGGAGTTTGTGTCATGAAATTAAAAATATACACACAAAAACTCACAGTCCTTCCTGGAATTCTAGGGGTGG